GCGGCGGCGGAGCCGCCGCTGCTGCAGCCACCGCCGCCGGGTGCTGCCATCCTATGTCCTGCACGGCTGAGTACCGACCCGCAACTGACGTACCCCGATCCGGATCCGGATTTGTTTCCGCTGCCGGCGGCGGCTACGGCCTCAGCACTGATAGCCTGTAACGCCTGAGCTCTGTGGATCAGCCTGAGACCGCTTTCCTGCGCGGAGGACGAGCGGGTGAATCTGCGCACGCCGCCGCCGCCGCCGCCATCAATTGCCGTGCCCCGCAGTGCAGCCACAATCGGTTGTGCTGCCAACATCAGTCCGGTCCGCGAGCAGCGGTCCAAGGCAGCAGCGGCTGACATATCGGCGGCGCCAGCTCCTGCGCCAGTACCCAGGGAGGGACTGGCTGGATGCGAAGACGACGCCGTAGATCTGTTAATGGGCGACCAGTTGAAGGGCATGGTTGGCGCGCCGCCGCGCGGCGACTGCGCGATCGGCGACGACGGTAGCGAGGCCTGACGCTGTGCGTCCTGCAGCGCGGCACGCCAGCGGCTTGCCACCGCCAGCCGCAGCGCCAGGCGCCGGTGGTGCATGTCTCCGTTCGCCGCCGCCGCCGCTGCCGCGGCGACCGTGGTTACGGTGGCAGCATCCGCAGTAGTGGTGATGCCGTCGTCGTCGGCGGCTCCTGCCACATCGGAAGGAGCGTCGCCTGACGTACGCCGCCGTCGCAGCAGCAGCCGTGATGACTGGGCGAATCCGTCGAAATCGAAGTCGCGATCACTAAAACCGCTGCTGCCACGCATGCGAAAAGCGGCAGACCCGTAGCAGCCGCCGCCGCCGCCGCCGCCACCGCTGCGCCGGTTACTGTGCTGCGTCCTGTCACCTCGCGGCGCGGCGACTCTACAGCGTCCCCTCCCAAGACGTCTACTATCCCGATCACTGTCCTCGCTGTCCTTATCGACACCGCTGCCGCTGCCCCTGCTAGCACAGCTGAGGTTATGCATGTCGCCGTACACGTCGCGCACCTGCTTAAAGATTTCACAGTCCTGGTTCTCACGGCCTGTCGAGGTGCGGCACCTCTTGCGGAAAGGTAGGTTCAGATGTGCAGCTCTAGGGCTAGCAAGGGTATCATCGTCCGGCCATGGTAGCGCGCTGTCGCGGAATCCACGTCCCACTGCCGCCGCCGCCGTGGTTAAGCTGCTGGAGGCCGCCGCGGCGGCGCCACCGCAAGAGCTGCCCTCCCCAGGACGGTCAGCGCCCTCCAGTAGCTGCGCAGGGAGGTGGAGGGCGTGGCGGTGGTGGCGGTGGCCATGGTGCGGGTGCGCGGTGGCCTCCGGAAGGCGCTGCCGCGGACTAGAATGCCCTTCCAGCCCCATGACCCTCCCCACTGAGTTACTCGTTAAAATGGGCTCAAGCTGGAGTGGCGGCGGTGGGCGACGGCGCCCTGTTTTGGAAGGCAGCTGTGAAGGCATTGCCTGAGCAGGGAAAACGTCGCCGTCCTTGTCGCCGCAGCCGACCTGTCGTGTTGACATATCCGCGCTGGCGGCAACATCGGGCCCCGCTCCGGCGACACCGGCGTCCACTGCGGGTTTGGCACGGCCCTGGTGCAAGACGTCCGGTGGCGACGAGGGCGGAACCTCGCCGGCCGCCTCAGGGAACGGCTCCTCCTGCTCCTCCTGCTGCTGTGGCGCTGAGGAGGTGGAGGTGCCCGTGCCGCCGTCCTGTGGAAAGAACAGGACCTTGCTACCCCGACCTGGCGGGGTCAGCAACGCGGCCCGTCCCAGCTCGCCGTCCGTGGCAGGCCAACGGCCCTGAGAGGAAAGGCGCACCCGCCCGTCCTCCGCCATCGCCAGCTGCGGCAGGGCCCCGGACTCCATTGTGCAGGTCAGGGACGAGCCCCCGTTAGAGCATGATGTATCGTGGCCTGAGCTGCTGCGCGGGCCCATGCAGCTGCTCACCTCAGAGGATTGGCAGCGGTGATCTGGGTCGGAGTTCTTCGGGGTTCCTTGCTGCAGGTCGGCTGGCGGTGGTGCGAGAGTGGAAGGTAAGCTGGCTCGCTCCGCGCCTCCGTCCGCTCCATATGCGTGCGCTGGTTGCTTAATGTGCTGGTTGCTTGCACTCTGAGCGGTGGGGTGTGCAAGTGAGTCGTCCACATCGGGACAAACGTCCAGCAAAGCGCCGGCTATCGCCGTCTGAAGTGACAAATTGTAGCTTGAGACCGGCTGCGCGGCTGCAGGCCCATCCTTGTTGTGATGCGAGAGCGGGCGCTGGTGTCCTGGAAATTGTGCGGCGGCTGAGGCTACGCTATCGGCCACATTCATCGAGTTGGGCGCGGAGCAGTAGGACGTCCCAAATACGTGGCGTCACTGATTTACGCCTCCGAGGAAACGTGCGTCCTGGTGAGTTCAGCAGTCGATGGAGCTAGATGTGAGTTCGGGAACCAAGCCACCGATTACCAAGCTTTTCCAAGCAGCTAGGATGGGTGCACATAAATAGCACAGCTACAGCATTCAGCTGTGCTTGCGGCATCAAGTTAGGGCTGACAGAAGACATATACCCCCTCCAGTCCGTTCCTTGAACCAGTTATGTAAACTCTTCCAAGGCAATGAACAGGCGGCTGTGCCCACTGCAAAGCTAACGGGAAACCGTCATGTCAGGATATTAGGAGAGCTCCTGGATAGACGGTAGCACATGTTCGGACATGGAACAGCCCAACAATAAAATGCCATCACAGACTGTTACCGTTCGCATCGACTATAGGAGTTTTACGAATCACAAACTTCTCAAGCCATGAACATTACCAGTGTGGGCGGCAGTGTGGACCAGCGCCCACAATGACTCACCAGCGACGCGGGTAATATCAAAGATGATCCTCTGAGCCGCTTCTATATGCTGAATTCTACGCTTCTCAGGCGCAGGCACGCCCAGAGGCCGCTTTCAAGGAGCTGTGGTCCTTGATCTTAATGTTCCATTTGCAGGAAAAAGGCAAAAACCTAAGCTTGCAGTACAACATTCCCCTAAGTTCGGTTTCACTATATATCACCTTAATGTTAGGACGTTTGCATCATTGGTGCCTTGCGCTCCACTTTCGCAAACAGCCACGCAAGTAACCATGTGAATTAATTACTTTGGGCAGTTTGCAGCCTCTACGGGGCCAGAGAACTTGCCACTTGTCGGGTTATCGTCATTACATAACATGCCATGCCGTACCGAGTTCGTATCTATAACTTTTCGCACGCAACCGCTCTTAAGCGCTGGACCCCGAGGCTGCTATTCAGTTATAGTGTTAGATTATACATACCTCTTACTTGCGAAGGTTACAGAACGCCACTATGCCATTATCCCGCGCACCAGGTAAGGCCGCTTCGAATTCGCATCTAGTCCCGTCAGGTAAGCCCGGTGATGGCCATGGATCTTGCGTCGCAAACTCTGGAACTCTTAAGGGATGTCCTGTGAAGCCGGGGGGCCAATGTCTTTGACCCCTTACTGCATGGCATGATGTCGATAGTGCGGTGAAAAAAATCTGCTACAACCGACCGAGGCTGCAGGGGTGACGTTATTATAGCACATCCCGTTCCATTCCATGCTGGGACCAAGAACAAGCAAGTAGGCAAAGCGTACCACGGATCTGGCATGGACTGGCCTTTGGCGGTCGCCTACTGCGGGCATAGCGTTTCCAAACTCGGGTGGCACAATCGCACGACGAGGCGCGTATGCATATCCGGTAGCGTTGACTAGCTCTATCCGGTAGAACTTGAGCTCTGATGTGTAATGTAATGTAATGTTACAGAGTGGGAGGCTTCTGGGCCGCCCTATCACATTGTCAGTTCTACGATCATTTATCACCTTATAGCACCATCCACCACTACCACACTGTACTTCGCCATACGAACTGAAAGTCCAAGGCGGCGGATCCAGCCTTCAGGGACCCCTCCTCATCCATTTACCCGAACACCCGAAGAGACGGAAGGTTCGGCAATCACCACCAATCCAGCGTGCGAATCTGGTCCATCAACACCAATCCAGCTCTGATGTAGTCCATGTTGGCACCACTGCTGATTGAGGACCGGCATCGTTCCGTGAGGGTCCAACAGTCTTGAAGGTCGGTTGGGGAGCGGGCCTTCCTCCACAGAAGTTGTTCATAGCGCCGTACCGTAACCATTTCCGCGCCCTATTGGGATCGTTGCAAAAAAGGGAGCGGGGCAGCAGCTGAAGATATGTCCCCAAAGTGCCAGATTACGTAATTGCGCATCAGGGAACTACCTGCTGGTGCCATGATGTCGTGTTATGCTGCCGGCTTCCACGTGGTTGCCAGTCGTCCACACCCCACACTGGTATGGTCGGCCTGAACTTGCATAAGCAGTCATCAACCAGAGACACGCCTCTGCACACCACTACTACGGAGTGACACGGGGACCTTAGCTTGGCTGGCACCGGGCCTGGGTAATGTTGGGCCCTTAAACGGAGGGCGAGCGTTCCATGGCATTTCCAAGGCCACGGCGTTTCCAAGGGTGTTGAAGCGGTTACGTCGCCATTTGCTTACGCTTGAGCTTGGAAAGACCCTCGTTGGGATTGCGATTGTGAACCTAAATGCTTGTTGCATGCATTTGACCCCCAGCAAAACTGCGGAGCGGCGTTCTCTTCGCTTGTACCGTTTAGCGTCTCGGTTAGCCCAGGGGCGTTCCACGCTATACCCTGAATGCAAGAGGCACTTGCTAATGGTGGCGCGAACCAAAATGTTGCAAGGGTTTGTGTGGTGAACATGAGTACCCCCCAAACGCTTCAAGCTCTCCCTCGGTTTCCCCGCCAGCAGGTTCTCCAACACTTGTTGAAATGTAAGTTTAACCCCAGTGTTTTTATTACAGGTATGGGATGTACATGAAAACGAGAGTAAGCATTCTTTGCCCGACACCTGGAATAAGTTGACAGAGGCCTCAAGTGTCGGGCGCTTCGGGATGTGTCGTACCCTTGGTTGAAGATAAAGTACAGCTTGCGAACAATTCGACTTGTAAACGTCCCACCAATAGATGCCTCTGCACTTACTGCGTTTTAGTATCGTCGTCAGTTCTTTGCTCTTCATACAATTCACAAGCTATCACAAGCCTGGCGGCGTCTTCTTTACTCTTTGGGTCTCTTATCAGCGCATACTACAGAATCTTCACTTGTTAGGCAGGATACAAGGACTTATTCTGGGCCATGTCTCGCGGCGGAGTGCGGGAGGATTATGGACCAGCGAGTGCGGGAGTGCGTAATAAGGTTTCGGTCCTTGTCCGCAATATTCCCTTAAATTATACGTAAGCGAGACATGTATTTCAAAGCCATTCTGTGGCACGTTGTTAGGGGCCTCTATGTGCATATGACATTGTGCTGACTAGCAGCTGTTCAGCTATTTCAAAACCCTAAGTGCTCTCTCAATAATGGACGTCTTCAGCATTATTATAAACCATCATCACACGGTCAACATTTCCCGCTGACACGTCGCTGACCAGCAGACAAGGCGTCTTTCTCTGGGATATGATGCGTCCCACTGCAGGCGTGAACCATGTATCTAGCGAAGTTGACCACTAACCCGACTTCATCTCCCCTGACGTGCACCTGCCTTCAGCGCGGAAGATTTGCGAGCGAAGTTTGAAAAGTTTGGCGAGCTTCGAGATGTCTACATTCCCAGGGACTACTATACTCAGTGAGTACTTGTGATGTGTGTGTCGGGCAGACTTTATGTAGCTTACGGCAGCAGCTGCAGTCCTGGCTTACACTGGTATTGGGTTATTTGGCACACGAATGAAAGCGTACTCGCAGTCCTGTTGCATGGCTGGGAGCTTGGTTTTGGGCGGCTTTTCATGGCATTCTGCAAGTCATTTTGTGCGCATGCGTTGGTGGATGCGCGGAGCTGGCCAAAGGGCGACCTCCACACTGTACTACATTTTGTCCGTGATGCGTGCGGTACTTGAGTCCTCATGAAGAAGGCTCGAAACACACCGTGCCTCATGTTCATGTCGACTAGTAAGCGGAAAGCTAGGTTGATAAGTAGTTTGCGCCTGGCAAACAGGCGGACAAGGAGGGGACGAACAAGAAGCAAGCAACGGCTGCCTTCTTGGGTTCCTGTCAAGCAAGGGTTCAAGGACAGCGAGAAGTGTGCAAGCAAGAAGAGTACAAGGAAGAGAATAAGCGAGGCGCGTAGCAAGCATTGAAGCGAGGCAAGCCCTGGAACAAGCACGAGCAAGCCATTGAGGTGTCCACTTTGGCAGAGGCAGGGAACCTAACGGCCAAACCAAGCTTTTCGAGCATGACCCACGTCCATCCTTTCGTGCACGGCTTGGCAGGCAAGCAGCGTGCAAAAGCGACAGTTGGATCGACTTGCGACACACGTATTGCGCGTGTATGTGCCGTGAGAGGTGAAAAGAAGTTCGCCATCGCCGGCCAGTCGAATATGGTACCGGCTGGGTACCATTGAGCACTTCTACAGCATACGAGGATTTTTTGCGCTTCCTGTGTGTGAGGATTCCGGGAGCATGGAAGCCACAATCATTCTGGAGGTTTTCGTTTCCGAGCCTATCAGTTGCAGGGCGTGAAGCGTCGTCATTGCGATGTGGTTACTGCTCGGATACCGTGTCGCTATACCTTGGCTGTCGAACTGTTTGCAGGCGCTCGCGCGGCTTCGGATTCATTGAGTTTCGAGACGCCCGAGATGCGGATGAGGCAATCTACCAGACAGATAGAACCATGCTTGACGGCCGAGAAATTAACGTGAGCACTGGTAACGTGTCCAGTTAGCGCAATGCATGGCCCCCCATCTGACCACAATGCAGGATCTTTTGCCGTGTTGATAGTCGTGGTGCGCGGTCACGGAAAGGCGTATTCGTAAGGGCAGTGTGACTCTGGTGTCCTGCTTTGCGCGCCTAACATTGCAGGTTTGCTTGTCGAAGGAGGGGCGGAAGACTCCTCGTGAGATGATGATTCTGGAGACGAAGGAACCAGGCAGCAGCCGTCCTGGTAAGACCGTCTGTCTACGAGTTTAAATTGGTCCGCCTGACGTTGCATGCTCTGCTTATTTCGCGTGCTGGTTATTAGTGTGGACAAGGTCCTGCATGCAAGCCGCACGTCACAGAGGATTGCATGACTGCCGCAGAAGCTGTATTATTATGATCGCTATATGTGACCTGACTTGCTGATTGCTGGTCTTCATCATACAGGAGGTTATGGTGCAGGCGACCGCGACCGCCGTGATCGCCGTCGTTCACGATCTCCCGCCCGTGGTAGCCGCTACAGTCGTAGCCCGCATGGACGCGGCGGTCGCTACAGCCGCAGCCGCAGCCCACGCGATCAAGGCGGGCGGGACTATGACCGTGATCGGGACCGGGGCTACGATTACGAACGCGACAAAGGTTACGGTCGAGACCGGGGTTACGAACGCGAACGAGATCGGCACTACGACGATGGCCGCAACTATGATCGCGATGGACGTGGTGATCGTGACCGAGGGCGTGAGAGGGACCGGAGTCGAGATGTGGAGAGGGATTATGAGCAACGTAATCGGAGCCGAAGCCCACGAGACGAGCGGGATCGAGAGCTCAGCCCAGACGGAAGGGATCCCAGGTTAGTATGGAGTTGGATTATAAAGATTGTAAAGGAAATACTTGAGGGATTAATGAGCGCGTTCAAGTTATTATGCCCAGATGGTGGGTTACGTGTCTTCCTGTGCATGTTGGACACCTTACAGGACTGAGCCCGAGGAGCCTGAACACGGGGATGCCGCCCCGCCTGTCAACGACTACTACTGAAAGGTGGTAACGCCACCGGCGCTTTGCAACTAGGCATGCCAAAATGCAACAGCCTCGGCGAGTGACTTTCTGGGAAGCTAGGGGATCTGAGTTATCTCCACGTAGGTTCACCACCGAAGGTCCTGCCATGCAAGTCATGTCCGTGCGCGAGATTATGTGCGCGGTAAGAACCCCAATTTGCCGAAGGGAGATCCAGCAACTGGCCTTTGCGGAGGAGTATGCCTTTTTCAGGGCTGATACCAGGCGCAACAGTGGTGTTCGACGAGCGTTAGGGCGTGGTTGAAGCCTATGTGAAATTGCTGGATCCGTTGGTGCGGTGAACTGAAAGTATAAAAATGCACGACCGCGTGTAATATTTCCGGTGTGAGGGTTCGTAGGGTGCTAATGTATGTTCCTATCGTATCCCTGATATGTTCGCATTTATCATGGCGATTGTGCAGCTCGGAGACATGAGCATGCCTGCCAGAAGCGAATGGGCATGGCACCCACATGGTATTGCACCGCATAAAAATATCTCGTACAGATAGTTTGACTGGCATTCTGGGCAAGTCCTCTTTGCGTATGTAATTCGAAATTGCTTTTTCTTGCTAGTATAGAAAGCACATGTGGTATAGCTGAAACTGATTCGCTTAAGTAAATAAGTGAGAGCAGCAACGAGCAGTGATAACACACCACTAACTAGTTATGCTTGCTTTACATAGGTCCATCTACCAAAGATATAGTCGATCGGTAGCCAGCAGGCGCAAGCTAGCATGCATTGCTATTCCTGTGACCTCTCCGCGATTCCTCATAGACGTTAAACGAGGCCGGTTAGATTGCTTCAAATCTAAATCTGGGCCTGAGGATAAGATCGCCAACGTATCCCTTCTCCCTTCGGACGGTCCTTCCCCGACTCGTTCCGCCCTTGCAAATGGGTCAATACCGAATGGCAGTGGCAGCATCGTCTTTGCATTGGAGACCTTTACCTTGCAATCCGCAACCAGCAGCAACGACAGTGGATTCTCACCCGCCGCAGCACCAAACGAATTTGCTGGCCGGCCCAAAATGAGCACTAATGCTGTCCCCCACAGCACTCCCGACGGGAACGGCAACAGGACTAGTAAGCCGGGTCGGAGACCATCCAGGCGGCCAGGACGTAATTCACCTTACCTCGCCACGGCATCAGCTCCGACCAGTTCGGGGGGCAAACAAGAGGCCTCAGCCGCTCCCGCGGGTGGCTCAGCGGCCCCAAGCCCCAACGACAAACCAGCAAGCGCCGCCACTCTTCTAACCAGCGACGCTGCTCCAGGCTCCGCTGTCGATTTGGTTGCAGGTCCCAGCCCGGGTCTGGCCACGAGTGTACACCTTCGTGGGCCCTTACACCGGCCGCATGGTCGCCTCCGCACCGTCACGAAGCCCCTTCCGCGTGTGCTGTTCCTGCACACGGGGGGCACGCTTGGCATGGATCCCGAGGTGCGGATGCGGGCTCTGGCGCCGACAAAGAACCTCTCCTTCTCCTGCAGGACAGAATGCGGGTGCTACAGCTTTGGAAAAGCGGCATGCCGCAAGCACGCATCCAACCTTCATCACTTCGTGCCGTGAACTCGGATGTCAATTCGTGTTTTTAGAGTGCTGGATGATGTGGGTCACCACGGGATGCGGGTTGGATGCACATGCAGTTGTTTTGCGCAGCAATGCATACTTCCTGGACTTCTTACAGGTCCTGATACATGAAGCCATCAAAGACAATGCTGGACCGAACCACCGCGTGTCCATCTTCAAATCGGCGCGGGTTTTCAAGAGAGAAAACACGGATGCGATGCGAATCCTTACACTTGTTCATCTTGTTGCAGATGACGACGCACGAGTTAGATGTGTACATGCGGAACGTGCCGCAAGCACTGTGACGCACGTAAGCCGTTTGGACGCCATGAGAATCAGTGTGCGGGGATGGGGATGTGGTGCAGGAGGCGTTTGAGGAGGACGACGGCCACAATCTGCGTGTAAAGGCTGGCGCCACGGAGGCGTCGTACAAGGGCACACTCAGACCGGGGGAGATGTTGTCCAGCCTCCTCAGTAAGTGTGCCCTCCTCACACAGGGTCGGTACGACCGGACGGGCCTTAAGGATTACAGCCAGAGCGCGTTGGTTTGTACTTTGCACTTGGTAGGTGGGACCTGGGCCGGCTTTAAAGCATGTCCCGCAGACCACAGTTCCACCGGGGATCATCTCACAGATCCTATCGGATGCGCGGGGCCCGTATCATACTTTGCTCCTTTGCAGTCGGATATGCCCTAGGAAGTACGCAACCGCACGGGCATGGCCCAGGAGCCTATTGGAGCCCATTGGAGCCTCTTTCACCCCCAACAAGCTACCCACCTTGTTTCCTTTATGCATTTCACTTCCCTGTACCCCTGCGGTGTGGTACGGTGTGAAGGGATGGGAGCCAAGCTTCATAGAAGTGGAAAGTAAAGCGCCCGTACACTCCTTCTTACTTCTTCTTCTTCTACAGCCCGTACACTCCGTGTTGCTGTTTTAACCTACCCCGTGTCGCTTCACCTCCCGGGGCGTCGCCATTCTTCTCACATTTATTTCTGCACGGTTGTCATCCCATCCCACCCCCCACGTCATATCGCACAGCCATGGTTCCGGAGCTGGAGAAGTTTGCAAATGTGGACCTGCAGGTGGGCGTTTTTTGATGGCCCTCGATGGCTTCGGAGACGAGGGAGAGAGGAGGAAGAGGAGGAGGAAGGGGAAAATGAGGGGAAGTTGGAAAGCTGTGAGGCGGGTGTGGAACCCGGTGCAAGGGCGCATAGCTGCTGGTGCGTGATGATTTGGAGGCTTCTGCGACGTGCGTGCTGCTGGTGCTTTAGCCGTGGAGCATCGGAATCGGTGCCCAAAGATTCCCGCATGGCAGCCGTTACCCATGGACAAGAAAAACCGTTGACTGCCGGATGATGCGTTCATGTCCCAATACCTCTCAGTTGAGCCTTTGGCACATCACCTAAGCGCCTCCCAGCGCCCGCTCTGGGCCCTGCACGGTGTTCTGGAACATGTACAGCATGCTGCAGCCGTCATCAAAACGCCGGTTCCCAATTCTTCACCTCACTTTCCTGGCACGCGTTCCATCCCGACCGTTTCCCATTTCTTCACTCATTTTCCTGGCGGGACCTGGCACGCATAGCATCCGGCAGAGGACCTGTGGATCCCCGCCATGATGTGGGCTCTAGCCACACCACGTATCCGTCCGTCCGTGCGCCCAGTTCCCCCTTCATCACACGCAATCAGCGCCAGTGCACCGCCGTACCCTCTACCTCGCCACTACCTTGTGATCAGCATTGCCACATCCCCCCATCCTTCCCCCCTGGAGCTCAGGTCCTGTTCAACAAGGACAGCAGCAGAGTGGGTCCTTCTGACTGGATTACCATCGCCAAGGCGCTGGACAACAACCATCCGCACTACGATGCCTTTGTGGTGGGATGGTAGGGAAGTCGTGAGGGAATAACAGTAAGAAGCTACGAACACAGCCAACACAGCCAACACAGCCAACACAGCCAACACAGCCAAACAAGCACAGGACGTGATGTTCATTCGCACCATGTGACGTATACACGTCTGTATGTCTACATGTCCTACGTGATAATGTACATCCAGTCGTGCACACTGACGCGAAACCTTTTTTCTCTCCTTGAACCCAGGTGGTTCACGGTACGGACACACTGGCGTACACAGCGGCTGCGCTGTCGCTGATGTTGTGCGGCTTCAAGAAGCCCATTGTCATGACGGGTTAGTCAAACCGTGGCTGGTGGATTATGGTGGGATGGAGACAGGGTGAGATCCAGAGCGCAACACCCCTGGTGGGGGGCCCGGTTGGTTTTTTGTCTTGCTTCAGTTCCGTTGTGACGGTATGATAGTGGCAGTATTGGGTTCCGGGGGCTCTACAAACTGTCGACCTGCATGTGGAAACGCTGCTGCGCACATCTCCCATTGGTTCAGGGGCTGCGGGGTTCGCCCGTTCGTTTTTCAATCATCAAACGGCGCAGGCTTGGGTTATGTCCTTCGAGCTGTACGAATACCTTGGCTGTGCAGGTAGCCAGCTGCCTCTGCGAGCACCCCGGACGGATGCCCGACAGAATCTGCTTGACTCGATCCAGGTGTGGTCGGGGCCAATCAGCTGCTGCCGGAGGGCGGGTTGCACTTTGTGTTATTATGGTGGTCGAGGAGTGGATTCTTGAACTCAACGAACCCCATCCACTGAAATCCGATTATTCAGGAGCACAATTACCTATAACCCACAGAGCCGCGCGACCCCCAAGTGGTAGCAGCAATGTACGTTCATTAGTATTATTTAATACTTTTTTGTCGACAGAGTTTCCATTACGTACACATGCAACGGCTGCCATGTTATCAAGCGGGACGTCACGCGGGGGACAACGGGAGGCATCTCGTCAGAGCCTGAACCCAGGCCATTCACGCACATAAAAAAACGCTTCCTGCTGTGTTTTGTCATTTCGCCACTGGCTATAACAAGCACGCTGCTCAGCTTTATGCCATATGTGGACTATTACATTACATTACTGTAACATTACATATGTGGACATGCCGCGCTTTCGCGCTCCGGCCCTTTGCCTTCGCCGCAGGTGGCCACTTCGGCCTTCAGCCCGCCTCATGTGGCCTTGCAGGAGGTGGCGGTGTGCTTCGGTGGCAAGCTCATGCGAGGAAACCGCACGCAAAAGGTGGGTGTGGCGCTCTCCATGCCGTTTGGGAGAGGTGAAGGCCTACCACGAGCATACCTAGGTGGCTGTGGCCAATCGCTATGTGTGGCTGTGCTCCGGCGGCTGCGTTCCCAGTTACTACCGTAGCGCCATTCCCACGGTAGTAATCTCCATAGTAGTGAACCCCACCTTGGGGTAATAGGGCCCTGTTCCCAGGGCCAACCAATCATTCCTTTGCCGTTCCTCCTTTTCCGTGTCTAAACCGGGACCTGATTCCTCACCTTCCTCCTCTAGCGGACAACCTTGCACTAAGCTTTATCGGTGACTCGAGTTTGACAGCACAATGGTGCCGGGGGCCCTGTTGCCCCGCTGTTGCTCGCAATATATCCCGCCAGGTCAACTCAGCAGCCTACCAGGCCTTCGATTCACTGACCTACCCCTACCTAGCCACCCTGGGTATCGACGTAGACTGGAACACGCGAGTGCTGCTGCGGGTGGAGGGGGCCTACAAGCCGCGATTTGAGGTGCGGGCCCAAATGCTACGGCATGAGTGCTACGGCATGATTGCGCGGTGGAGGGTTCGAGGGAAGGGCCGTTTCGCTGCAGGACCACTAAGACCCCAACGCTAACCTGGATTGATAGGGAACGACCGGGTGGTGGACTTTTACATATGATGATTGTGTTCTTTACCTTCTGGGTAGAAGAGATAAGCCGCCGACGCCGACTACTAGCCCCAGGATAAAGCTAACTCTTCCCGCCCACCCCGCCATGCAGCTGGACCCCCGCGTCATCCGCATACCGGTCGTCCCCGGCAGCGATCCACGCATCGCGTACGGTGACCTGTACGGCCGTGGTGTCCGCGGTGTCGTGCTGGAGGCGTTCGGTGTGGGTAACTTGCCTGATCAGGCATCCTACGGCTGGCTGCCATGGCTCAAGGACCAGACGGCCAAGGGACTACAGGTGTTGCATTATTGCGGTGGCTTGGAAAACCGCACCACAGTGCATGCATACCCGTGTCCACAACCTGTAACTCGTGCAATGCATCTTACAGCTCACAGCGCACCGCCTGTTCCCGGTGAACCAGGTATGCCTCACAAGCCAGTGTTCCTCAGGACCGCTGCACCCGGCTCTGTATCGTGCGGGCCAACTGGCGGCGAGAATGGGGGTAGATGCGGGTCCGCACATGACTCCCGAGTGCGCTGCCGTCAAGCTCATGTTTTGCCTTAAACATCCCGACCTGGCGCTCGGAGTACCGCTGGCTGGAGAGCTGTAAGGTGTTTCTCACCTTCAATCAGCTGTTCTCTCGCGGGGTGAGAATCAGTTGGACTCATTTGTAGGATTCATTTGTACGGTGTATTTTCAAGATACGAAACGCATTGAGTTACACGTCATCTTGGTGCACAGATGCAGCTGCGGTATGGATGTCGGACTCCAATACTGAGGAAAAAATACTACAGAGGATTTTACACATATAATCAAATCTTGGCTAAGGTTCTACATGATCTGCTACCAAACGGCGTGTCCATGCTGCCCAGGATAACACATCCGCGACTCGCGCCCCAGCCTGCCTACCAACCAATTGGAACGATGCTTAGTCGGTTCAGAAACGTTCTACTGCAGACCACCATGGCCACTACACCAGCTGAGTGCGCATGCCCGTGGTATACCCGTACGGCACAGGAGTATGTCTACAGCTATACACGCCCGCAGGCGGCGGCTGCATGTCATTATCCAGCATGTAATGGAGAGCTAATGTGGTAAGCCCCGTCTTGTTGTCGGCAATGGCCTTCCCGTCCACGCTGCACAATGGGATGATGGTGAAAGTGGTGCAGACAAGGAAACACTCTTTCGCTGCCAGCACTTCGGAGACGTGCAACTTCCGCTGCTGCACATTAGCGACAACCACGTCATCGGGCGACCGGATTCGCTCCTGCACATCAGGGTTTTTTTAGCAACGGGGCCCCAGCGTACGCAATACGAGTCGAGCTTTTGAACAAGGCAGGTTAATGGGATCCGGCAATGAGCTGCGATGTCTGCAGCCACTTAGCGAGGGCGAGGTATGATGGTGGTGATGAGGTGCCGATAGCTACAAGCACGTGGCGATTTCTGAGGACAGGACAATATGAGCCACATAAAACCCAATGCTCTCGGGTCAGAGTTGGAGATTCTAATCATTGCGATCAGGTGAAAGATGGTGAATTGTGCTGTTTCATCTCGTCACTCCCGAGAGCGTGGGATATTTGTGTATTTTGAGTTATGCGGTGAATGAATGCGTTGGGTCAGAGTTGGAGATTCTAATCATTACGATCAGGTGAAAGATGGTGAATTGTGCTGTTTGAACTCATCAACCCCAATGCTTGAAGTTGTACAATTAATGCCTGGAAAAACGTTTACAGGATGGCAGCAGGGGCAGCAACCCATGCGCGCAACGACAGCTGGCTAGGCCGGAGCGGTTGGTCAGGGGATAGATTATGCAAAAATCATGGGTCTTGATCATGTGAAAGATGGTGATTGGATTTTTCATCATCCCAACCGCTTTCTATCGGCGCCACACTCAATCCTTCGCATGGTCCCAGTCTGCGTAGAGCGCACATTTTAGCATATCGGCGCACGCAGACTCACACGCTTCTTGTCAAGTCATCAAGCGCTTACCTCAGGAATCAGCTCCAGGATTCGAGATAGCGTAACACTTGGCGCGGTACTTTCAAAAGGAGGGTACACAAGCGTGTCTTGCTGAGTCAGGATGCACACCGTGTAACCCGCGCAGTGCTGTACAAATCCTTCGGCGTCGGTGAATAGCGCCTGCAAAGGTCAACGTCGCATCGCATAAACACGGCGCGACAGGGCAAGAGTTTCAGGAGGAGGCGCAAATCTCCCGTCGATTTAAACACGAGGCACGCCCCAGACGCTCGAGCCGCCCAGACCATACGAGACCAGACCATACGAGATCCCCTTCGCAGACAAGTCGTGCTTAGATAGCGAAGTCAGGGCCCAATATCGACGGCACGGTCGAGTATTCCAGAACTGCCAAAGCTGTAAGGATACCCAGAATGGTCAAGTATTATGGCGACGTTTGCAGATTATCAATGCTTGTGTCAGGCAGCTCACCACGTGGGCATCCCTGGCGTGCGCCTCCACCTGCCCCACAGTTGTCAGCAGCCGCTGGTTTCCGAGCACGTTGCTGACTGCCGTGGCCTGAATCGGCTCCTCTGCAAGGATTGCATCCCATGACTCCGTGCGGTCAATCTCGTAGGTGTCGCCGAGGCAAATGACGTACAACGCTGGCTCGGATCCGCCAAGCTCCACTGGGCTGAAGCCCCCGCGACCTGGGGTAACCCAAAACCGCAACTGTCCTGCGTGCAAGCAAGCGCCCATCAGCGCCCTAAATAGGCAAAAGCTTGTAGATGATGAAACATACCGTTCAATTTGCCGCTAGCAGCTGCGGTATCAAGGACAATCCTCTTAACTGCCGGTACTGAGAAGGGTAACGATAGTCCAACTTGCGCGCAAGCAGCTGTTAATCGCGCAATATGTTCATCCAACATGTACAGGTGACCGTCGCGCAGGACGACAGTTTCCGAAACGCCATAGCCTTTGCAAACGAACTGGTCGTCCACGGGCAACATCATGAGAGCCGGGTCCACCACAATGCCGCCCATAATGCTGCTGTAAAAAGCCCCAAAATTCTCTTGTCCGTAATCGTGCATAGAGCTCCGCAGGCGTTGTACCATCTGGTCGGGGCGGCGGCGCGTCAATTGAATTGCGGAACAGGTCCACCGCTTGCATCAACACATACTTACCACATCCGGTGTTAACAGCGGTGTTGGCTTCGTTCGGCTGCCAGGCACAACGGCTGGTCGGAATCCCTTTGGCGGAGGCACCGGCTCGTGGTTCAACTTGCCTACTTCAACTAAGGCCTGAGACCGCAGCCGCAGCACGCGAGCTGGGGGCATACGCCATCCGCGTTGCCCAACGCGTGAAACAGGGCCATTTCCCTGGCAGCGGCTGCTTGTGGACGCCGCCTCCATTGTTCCAGCCGCCGTCCGGTTATCGACAGGCTAGATTGGAGATATGTTTTAGAAGTGTTGAATGACCATGGAACTCGACCAGCATGTAATTAATTCAGAATGGTAGTCGATGCCTGCTCTAAATGTGGCGACGATGTCGTTTGGATCGGGAATTGTACGGAATGTCGTTCGCATGAAATAAACTTTACAAGTTCTGGGCAGCGAGTCGAGGAATGAAAATCATGACAGGCCCATGCGCTGTTGCTTGAACTTCGATACGCGTTTGGTAGCCGCAACTCCGACCTCGCTAAAAGCTGTCAATGCCACCTCGCTGCCCGCAAATTCACTGCTTGCAGCATCCCCGGCGTTACAGCCTCTACCACCCACTCCTCGCTCCTTAACGACCCCCGTGAACGCTTCCTCCCGGGCCCTGGCCATCGCCATGGCCGCATCTCCCCCGTCTTCCAACGCCACAGCAGTGCTGGGGAGACCGGCCCAGCTCCGACCCTTCGCCCCACTCCCTTCAGCGTTGCCCCACTGACCCGTTCCCTGATGCTCCGCCGAATCCACCTTATTAGTACCCTGTTTCAGAGCAGGCCGGACACTTGCCAGTCCCGCGCTGCCCTGCTGGTGTAGCGGCCCTGCAGGCGCGTGCAGAGCCTGCCGCGATCCCACCCCCCCGTCATCCGCTCCCTGGCCCGGCACCGACCCGTCCGCGAACGACACTCGGCGATCTCGCCCAGTGCGGCAGCCAGTGGACGTCACCGCATCCTGCGAGAGCGATGCCCCCTCCACTTGATGCTGCTCTTGCGATGCGTTTCTAGCAGCCAGGGACGTCCTCTCCGAGGGCCCCGAATCACCTGAGCCGGAGCTTAAACTCGCGCTGCTCTGGGCCCCACGGGCCGCCTTTGGAGCAGCCGAGGGAGCAGTCAGAGAAGCAGTAGAAGCAGCTCGGCTGCCCGCCCCGCCTCCCCCAAGCAGGAAGCCCTTCTTAAGCGGTGTGCCAGTCTTGAGCTTTGCCGCCGCTGGCGCCTTCACTGTCGCTGCATTCGCAGGTGCCGCTGATGTTGATGTTGACAGGCTGCCGCAGCTCTCACCCGCAGGGACAGAGCTTGATGTGCTTGAGCTTGCGCTACTGACTGCACCACCTCCACTTCCACGCCCTCCTTGCCACGCGTCTGCTCCTTGCCCTCCCGTCACATCAGCTGGACCTGCTGCCCCGTCCCCACAAGTAACCTGTTTAAGCTCCCTGGCCTCCCGTCCCTCTCGCCCGCCTCCGCCTTCCCCCTCGCTACCGCTGTCCGCGCCCTTGTCATCGCTTTCGTTGCTGCCCGCTTCCGCTTCCAGCAGCTCCAGCTCCGCCAGCCGCGCAAAAATACGCTTGTCATCGTCAGCAGCCGCTGGCACGTCTTCAACCTGCTGCCCCGCAAAATTGCTATCGCTCTTGGCCGGGCTAGCCTTCCCAGAGGCCATCCTAACCTCCACCGAACTCGAAAACGCCGGCCGAGCCGGCGCCTGGGCCGGCGGTGCCGGTGCTCCACGTGCTGCTGCCAGCAGCGCCTCGGACTCCTCGAAGTCCTGTCGGATGTCCACCAGCGCTTCACCCTCCTCGTTGGACAGCACGGAAGCGAGTTCCTCCACACGGCCTCGTAGATCGTCTAACTGCTGTAGGGCTTGTGCCAGTGCCTTCTCAGCCCGCGCTTGGCGGCGGCTCAGCACGTCGGCCGCCTCGCGAGCGGACGCCTCCAGCCGCAAGTCGCAGCCTAGACCCACTAGAAATTCGTTGGTGTGGATAAGCTCACCCTCGAAGAAAGCATGCTTTCCGAATGGCACCATGGCTGTGTGGCGGACCTGCAGTTTGGGTTAGGTTTGGGTCTCGGCTGTTAGGGCTAGTTTGGCCGGAGGGGAGCTCTAATGCGGCTGGGCACCGGGGAAATGAGGGAGAGTGGGATTGGCGTTGTTTCCCCAGGCGAGAAGGGCCTATCGCATCGCATGCTTTGCTTTGTGCGGCATGGCATGACATGGCATGGGAGGGGGGTTTGCGGGGTAGACAGTGGATTGAACGCCATTACAGCCTGCCGGCCGCGTTGGTGAGAAAACAAGGGGACAAAAGTGCCTGCCAGGCAGCCATAGCAGGCCAGAATGCACGTCGAATTGGGCAGACATACTTTTGAGCAAATGGATACCCAACCCGCTGTGCCAACCAACAGCAGAGGGGTCACTTTTCCACAAGGATTTACATATCATGCGAACCTTGTCAGGTAGCTTTGTCAGTAGTTGGCGCACTCGTGCAATCTCATCCACGCTGGCTTGCATAGCTGCCACTTCCGCCTCATGCTGGCGAGCTGTGGCCTGCGTGGCCGCAAAGTACGCCTTGAGCTCTTGTGACATACTGACTTGAAATCTTTATGGTGTTGGGCGTGTTGCGACACTGTGCGTTTAGGAGTGCAAATTGACAGATGGTTAACTTATAATTGCTTTCTTCCTGCTTGACTTAAATAGACAACGATACATACTGCTGAATCTTAGCGGCATGAACGAGGCAGATAGAGTGATGCAACTACCGAGAACCTTAAGTTTCGGAGCGGCATCGACAGTGCCCAAACAGGATGCCATGTTGCCATACATCTTGCGAATATGTCCCTGTTAAGATGTATGACTGAATGTTAATGTTATAGGACCGATACAGCAACTGCCTGCAGAATATAGACATGTCCTCCACACCATCCTTGGAAACGATAAGCATTTTCCATGACGTAGCTTAACCAGAGATGACTATAGACTTCTTTGGGTTAATTTTCCTGGGCCTCGGGCCCGGAATTGCATTTTTCTTAGTGGTGCTTGCTCGCAAGTCCTTCCTAGTGCTTCTTTCGCTCTTTAGGTACGTGTTTCCGTTCAATGCCGGATGTTGTTCTGGCTTATGTCCTTCTATGCTCTCAGCAGCCTTGACGTCCGCGCGCCCGTCCTCCTCCCCGTGCCGACGCCTTCGCCTCCCGGCCTCGCCCGCCCGCAGTGCCTTCCTATGGCTCGTGGTATTGCTAATCATATCGGCCATCTTTCGAGGTACGCTGCGCACATAGCTTGGGCAGGCCTTGGACACCAGCAGCCAGTCACACAACCCCTCTGTCAGGCACCTCACCGCTTGGTTTCTCAGCACCCAGTACACTCTGCCACACCGCTGCTCCTCTCGCATATCAGTCTCCAACATCCCTCCGCGTTCATCCCGTTCGCGATTACCGAGTCACCCGGGTCGCCCCGGTCGTTCAAGCAGCCTCAGGTCCCCAGGGGTAACTGATGTCCCTCGCCTGGTGCTCTTTCCTGGTGCAGGGTTTGTCCCACTGGACCCAGAGCAGGGGCCCTATGCGGGTCTGCTCATAGCATCCGTGGCTATTGAGGAGGCAGTTCGATATGGTGTATGGCGTCTGCACCGGTAAGACTGGGTGATGGGCTTTGAGGTGACCGGACGCTCAACACTGTCTTTCCATGACTGCTGTCCCCGCTGCTCCTCGAATCCCTCCTTGCCTGACCTGAACGGCCTGCTCCTTAACTAGGCCCGGCCTTCACCCCGCCCTGTCAGCCCTGGCACCCACTTGGGTTCATGTACTCGTCCCTCCCCGTCCCGCGATACAACCCCCGTCTGCCTCGCCTCCCCCCATCTCCCCTCCCCAGTAAGACGCTGGAGCCCCTGGAGTCCATGGCGCGTTCCTCGGGCCGCCGCTTCGCCCTGCTGGACAAGCTCTACATGGCCCTGGCGTGGGGCTACGGTCACTCCGCTAGCCACGCGGTCTTCTTCTTCCTGTCCTTCCTGCCGCTGACGGTCAGCGACGGGACATACTACAACCCCGCTTGCCCACAGATGTCCATTTTCCTGGTGAGAGCTAGGGGGTAGCGGAACATTGAAAAACAGGGCTCTGCTGCAGGGCTCCGCTTGCGGAGTGGCCGCCTGACACCGACCACCGACAGTCGGGCGACCATATCCCCGCGGGCGTGCTCCGGGTAGCAGCTGTGTCGTTGTGTGCTCGAGGTTCGCAGCCGTTGTTGTTTATCCCTCTCTCGGTGAACGCCGAAATGTCTTCCGAATCTCGTCTGGCGTCTGCCCGAATGTGGTCCACGTCCTGGAGATATCGGGAGGCTGGCCCTCAGCGTATTTGTATTGCCACCCCTGGATAGTATATCTTCGTTCCACACACCCTATCGTGTGGAGGTAGCTGGCTGCCGTGGCGCTGTTTCCCGCAGTTACAGATGTTTGAACACTTCTCCTAGTTGCGCGAACTTTGGCCTTGCCATCCCAGGCTCTTTTGTCTCCCTGCCATTATTACCGCCATGGCCCACACCGCCACAACCACCAACAATAACAATAGCGCTAGCATCGCCACGGCTCCGGGTCCTACTAACGCACCCCGCCAAGGCCATCGGCTCCAGGAAGGAGGGCTGCCTCCCGGCTCTGCGCTCCCACGCCAGGCATGCGTTGGTTCTCCTTGTGTTGCGTTGCAGACTTGTTGCCTTGGTGCCGCAACCCGCGTGGGGCCCGCAGGTGGGCGCGCTGTACTCTCTCTCCTTTGGTCTGATCCTGACAAGCCTCATGGTGATTGCGTTTGACGGGTACATGGAGCGCCGCATCGCGCACATCGCGGCGGCACCGCTGCTGCACCTGGGGGCGTCGTGCCTGGTGAGGGGGCAGGGTGGTTTGGTGTTACAAAAGCTCCTCATTTACATTCAGGAGAGCCCCTTTCTCTCTTCCTGCTTGGCCGGCTTGCCGGGTAGGGAGTGAGAGCAAGTAGACCTGACGAGATGGGGGTTTTGTGTTTAAAGTCGGTGGGGAGTGAATGGGTGTGGCCGCGTCTGGGGCCATAAGGTTCGAGTAAGGGCGGGTCGGGTCATTTCCGTGCTGTGCTTCCAACATAGCGCTTCCTGCTAGGAGGGTGTTGCGGGAGCCAGTGTTCATACGTGACGGTGGAGGCAACACCGTGTCATGTACATATTTCAGCTCTGACTGGCTTTTGCTTTGATGCTCCTTGCTGCATTGGTAACGCAGACCCTGCTCAATTTCAAGAAGAACGGGTGCGTGGTATCCATGCCCGTTCTTGTGGGCCTTGGCCTGCTCCTCGTCCTTTACACCATCGGGATTAGCTGGCGGAAGGCCGTGCGATGAACTTTAAGATTCAAAATGACTTGACTACGTCGTCCAGCAGCCTGGCAGAGGGTTCTTGTTCTATTTAGGCAGGGATGGAAAGCGACCCTGTCCAAGACAACGTGCACCGTGGACAGGATACGTGGCCAAGTGTTACTTCGATATTGAGCCTATGTTCGTGCCTAGGTTCGTGGCCAAGAGTTACTTCGATATCGTGCCTTCAACCGTCGATGTCGTACTTTCTGGGAAGGTTTTGACTACACTGTTTTAAGTTATTATGAAGTACATAGCCGTATGCTTCAGCTGCTGCGGTGGCTTGTATTGTGGCTGCGTTTCCAATTTCCCGCTTTAGGTCCATGCATCAACCGTTAGCAGATCACTTGATGTAGTGATAGGGCTCTGTTACACCTTCGGACAAATTTGTAAATATCCTGCTGCTGCTTTCATTTTGTGCATCAGGTGCACGATAACGGCATGCGCAAAACGAATTTGACAGATGGGCATAGACAAAGTTGATGTCGAAATACCAAAAGCCGAAGCTATCGCAATAGAGTATCCTGGTTTTGTTCAAGATACTAACAAGGCGCTGCGTACACTTGGCGGACTCGACAGCATAGCAATCGCAGTTGGCACAAAGCACTACCTGAAGCTTAAGCTCCGTCCTGAAGACCGGACGAGTCATCCTCTTTACGGCGAAAGGCATGAGCAGACACGCCTTCTGCTGCGTATTTCGCGGCCGAAGCAGCCACCGGGTGGCCAGCCCAGTCCTAACCCAGTTGCCGCAGACGATGGCACAGACGCGGGCCAGGGACCTGCCACCGGCGTGACAGCCAACGTCATCGCCCGCGTGACTCCCACCTTCCGCTTCCCGGGACTGGCCGATTACGCCTTCGTTTTCCATGACCCTATGTTGCCGTCCCGCTCCCGCGACCTGCTGCCCTACGACCAGCGTCACGACCGCGCCGAGCCCACCAAGATCATGCAGCCCCTCTTGCTCATTCCGCAGCTCTTTTCCTGGCTAGATTTCCCGCAGGACTATGCATTTAAGCAAATACAGTCCAAGCACCACCTGCGAGGTAGGCCCTGGATGTCCCCCACCTTGGATTGGACGCCATGAGTTGGCTTCTTCGCAGAAATTAGGAAAGCCCTCTCTTAAGGATCTTACATGCTGTATCTCGAGCGGCAGTATCAGCCACAGCAACCGCCGTATCAGCAGCAGCAGCAACATGAGTTCGAACCGGACGACGAGATCGCCTCCTCCTACTGTGTTTGTGCTTCTTGTTGTTGCTCCTGCCGGTGGGACTGCCCATGGGGCCGCCACCGCATGCAGGTGTAGCCAGGTTGGACCCTAACTGGGGGGATGCCCCGGTCATCAGCTTCTACTCGGAGGGAGTCCCACCGGCAGTGGCCACAACCTCCACAGGCGTGGCAGCGGCGGCTGCGGCAGCTGCAGCGGCTTCAGCTGGGCCAGCGGCAACGGCTGCCGCTGCAGACGGCACGACCCCTGCCACCGCCCAGCCGGCGGATACGGCGGCCGATAATGCCGGCGTGGCCGACGTGCGGGCGTACCGGGTGCTTGAGACGGAGGTGTCTCGCCTGCTGTCGCAGCGGCCCGTGTGGGGACTGGAATTGATGCGAGAGCGATGTGCGGCCTGTGCGGCGGTGCAGACGGCGATGCCCGGCGGCTGTGACGGTGCGGCGGTGGAGCGCGTGGTGCAGCGGCTGTGCTACCGGTTCAAGACAGGTAAGATCCGAGAGGAAGAGGAGGAGGCGGAGGGGGGATGCAGAGAGTGGAGGGACATGTAAGACAGACGAACAGGCAGGGAGGGCTGGAGGAGTGGGAGGCGTGGTGAGCTTGGATACTTGCCCTTTGGCGCGTTGGTGTTGTCGGTCAGTCTTTGCGGAGGAGGATTCACCTCTTGCTGTCAAGGAATGCTCCACGGGGCCCCCTTGCTGTTGGTGATGTGGCAACTACTGCTACAGCAACGCTAATGCAGCTGGTGGTGCTACAACTGCTGATCTCCTGATGACTGCGGCGGCATTGGTTACCTCTTTTGCCTGCCAGGTCCTTGGCGCGGCCTGTTCATTCGACGTGGCTATGACCCACGGGTCGATGTGGAGGCACGCAAGTACCAGGCCATCATCTACTCCCTACCCAATAACTGGTGCGCAGTCTCCCTGGCGTGCCTGTTGTGATAGAGCGAGCGAGCGTGTTTGTGTGCGTGTGTTGTGTGTTGTGTGTTGTGTGTTCCAGTGAACTAGTAGTGTGCGGGTGTGGGGGGAGAGGTGACCAGAGGAGAGGTGATGTGGAGGACGGTGGCTTCTCAGGCTCTCCTGGACATTGGGGCATTGCAGGTCCTTCACAGAGCCCACGTCCCACGCGGAGTGGCGTCCTTGGTGCCTGGTGTCCTCTAAGGCATGTGGAGCACAAGCAACTGTCCCTGAGGCTGAACAATTCCCTGAGCCCGGGCCGGCGCTAAGTAGCACTCAGAACTCAGAACTGGAGACACCAACACAAAGGTCCACCACCGCACCTCTGAGTCCGCAGGTACCGCAACCTGGTGAAGGCGGGAGTGCGGAACAGCATGCAGAAGCCGACGGCGCCGCCGCTGGGGGAAGGTGAGCGTGAGGGCCCAAATGAAGAAGCATCAGCCGCCGGCACCGCCGCCGCCGCCGTCGGCGCAGGAGCTCCTGGGGCAGCGGCTGACGGCGCGGCGGCCTCTGCCGCTTCCCCGACAGCTGCGGCGGCGGCGGCGGCGGCGGCCGGTAGCCCAGCTGGTGGCGGCAACAGCGGCGCCACTTCGCCAGTGGCGGCAGCGGCGACCGGGCTGTCTGCTCTGGCGCCCTCTTGCCAGGACGACCTACACAGGTACGAGGAGGGTCTCAGAAGGGAGGGGCGCGTGCGTGTGAGCTGCAAGGCATGGATGAGCTCTGGATAGCTCGGTAAGTAGTGGTGCGCGGGAGTGTAGCGGTGGAATGAGCCAGCGAGTTGTCAATGGTGTGTTTTTCAGTGGTTGTGGGAGCGGGAATGGGAACCCATCACCACCATCATCATTACCATCATCACCATTGCCACCACCAACACCACGACCGCCACGCACCTCACCAGGCGTCCCCTCCTGACTTACCGGGCAGCTTGCCCCAACTCCCCAATGAAGTCAATTCCCGGAGCCCTCTCATCGCAATCCCTCCCCCGCAACCTCCCACTACACGATAGAGCTCCGGACTAACCATCCCCGGCACTCTTGGCTCCTCCCCCGCGCCTCAACCCTCCGCGCCTTGCCCCGCCCGCCACCCCCCCTTTTTGCCAGCTTCCGCGCACTGCCCACTCAGCAGAGCACCACCTTCCAACTGATTGACATGCAACTGAAGGCAGTGCAGGAGGTCCTGGAGGTGAGTGCGAGTGTGAGAGGAGGGGCAGGGGCAGGGGAGTTGGAGACTGCGGGATGGCGATGAAAGGGAAAAGGGTGTACTGATGTAGGTGGTGGTGGTGGTGGTGGCTTAGGTGGTGCACGTGGTGGTGCTTGGGCCCGAATGCAACGTGTCACTGATTCGCTGATTATTACAGTCTAGTCCTACGGCGGTGCGTACGGAAGGGTCTCTGGGGGTATGGAGGGCGGTAGCAGGTTAGCCGGCCAGCCGGGAGCCGCCCACATGGGCCATTATTATGATGTTGCGAAGGATTGAGCTTCCCTCCCCTCCTCTCCCTTGTGGTTCGTCTTTCCCCTCCTCTCCCGTGTGGTTCGTCTTTCCCCTCCTCTCCCTTGTGGTTCGTCTTTCCCCTCCTCTCCCTTGTGGTTCGTCTTTCCCCTCCTCTCCCTTGTGGTTCGTCTTTCCCCTCCTCTCCCATGTGGTTCGTCTTTCCCCTCCTCTCCCTTGTGGTTCGTCTTTCCCCTCCTCTCCCTTGTGGTTCGTCTTTCCCCTCCTCTCCCTTGTGGTTCGTCTTTCCCCTCCTCTCCCTTGTGGTTCGTCTTTCCCCTCCTCTCCCTTGTGGTTCGTCTTTCCCCTCCTCTCCCTTGTGGTTCGTCTTTCCCCTCCTCTCC